AGTAAAACAAAAGCCGTGCATGTATTAACTAATCATTTTGAATATGTAATTATCTATAGAGAGTAGAGACTATGCATTATATGAAAAAAGACTACATTCTTGTTCATATTTATATTTGTCATGTATTTGTAATTATTGAAAAAAAGATTAAAAACAATAAATAACTAAAAGATTGCAGATGAAAAAATGTGGATTTAATAATTCTCTTTACCCGTATTGCACAAGAGATTTGTTGATAAACAACTCCTTACCCGTATATAGGAATTAGGATACCATGACAAGTATCCCCATCTCGAGATGCAAAGCTTCAGAAATCACATCATACCCAACCGGGTATGTCGGTCTACCTGATCGAGTTCAATTGTTTTCCAGATCTAGTTTGATCCGTGAAACAAGTCCATACCCAATCAAGTATATGTTATACTCGACCAGGCATATGCATAAATCAAGGATTATCGGGACTTTCATCATTTATCTTGCACCTTCCTTACTACTTTGGAGTTCATTCCTGATCTTTAGGTTGATTTAAGCTCAAAAAAACCTAATCTAAACACATAACAACTAAGTAGGAAAATAAAGGGTTGCGCCAAAAATGCGTACCGACCCCCTACACACGATAAAAGCAACATAAAAGTAAAAACATAAACAATGAGAAGTCCACACTATCAAAGTCCTCCACACTTAGTTTCTTACTCATACTCGAGTAAAAATCAACACCGGAGTACTTCACAATCCATAGAAAAGGAATAAGTTCATTAAAACAAACAGTTCAATTTTACATTTTATCCCCAATTTGCAGAGAAGGGGTCTGCATGATCTTCACCACGTTTGTTTGAATCTCAAGTGCTCCTAAGTGAAACGAGTTCCTGCATAAACAAAGATAAAAATTTCCTCTCATTCTTGCATTCTGCATAGGAGCCTTTTCGGGTTTTCATCGTAGCCGCTTCTTCTTTATTATCTCTCGGCTCACTAAATGGTTTTAGCACTTTTACTTAGATTGTCCATTTTTGGGGTTTTCAACCTAAGTACCACTACCGCAACCGCTACCGCTACCATTATTATTATTATTTTAAGAAGAGAATCCAAGTTAGAAGGTAGAAGGCGTTATGAACATACCGAGAGTGATCTTTCCCCGCTTGATCGAAGCACTGTCCCTAGTGCTCATTGTCATTATCACCATTATGACCTCCTCTTCCATCGCCGACATATCCTCCTCTGCCACTGCTCGGTCTACCAAAATTACTCCAATAAGAGGGGTCATATCAAGATGGGTGTTGTACTGGAGCAGGCAAGGAGCTGTAAAATCCATGTAGGTCAAACTGTCAAAGTAAGCATACATGGGGCAAAACGCCCGTATCTGATCCTCAGCAGCCTGTCTTTGTGCCTCCTCTATGCGGTTCAATGTCTCATCCGATCTAGTGAATCGTCTATCTAATGACTGGAATTTGATATTTAGGGTGTTTATACCCGCCAATATCTGTCGTTGCCCTTCCAAGACTTGGGTTTGGAAGGTGTCATTTTTTGGGGTGCTGTAGGAGGATGAGGAGCACTTCCCAGGTGATGCAATATGAAGTTCGGAGCACTTCCCTTGATAATTTTTGGGAAGCTCAAAGACATTGCTCTCACACCACATTGCAATTAGACTCTTCAAAACATAGTTGGGAGTCAATGCCGTGTGCAATAAGGTTTGCTGGGTCATTGGGCCGATTTTGTGCCCCGCATCCAACCACTTCTGGATGCATGACCTTTCATATGTCTGCAAAATGGGTAAAGCATAAAACGTGACTATTAAATTGCGCTCAACGCCTCAACTCACTCAAATGAGATCCGAAGTGAGGTTTACTTGTTACTGATATTCTAGACTAGTATCTAAAAAATAGAACTAGTGTCGGATAACTCAAGCTCAAGTCACGCTAAACAATTAGAGGGTGAACAAATGGGCCCAAGCTAACCCTAAACAGGCTGCTCCAAACTATGGAGTGGGAAGCCAACTCAAGAACCACTACCGGACCAGTCAGTGATTACATGAAAGATCCTCGGGTGGTATGTTTTCCTATCAATCATAGGCAGATTCAAACCCAATAGACACCTGAAGTGGTATAACTCAACAATCACAACTTGATATTAAACATACAGATTGATTCTAGAAACAATCACGCACGAAGGAAAAAATGGGACCGGACCTGACCAGTACATAAAATAACCGGATCATTCATCAACTCAAGTGATATCGGACATCGAAAATCATCTGGTATGATTGGGACTCTGTGCTTAATCAAAGTATTTTCACTCTCAGTGGCATCATCATCTTCTTCAGGATTATCATTCACAACACAGTCCTTTATTCTTCTCCAAATATATGACACTGCCTCAAACAGCTCAAAGCGCTCCTCTGGAATACCGTCTGAAGAGATGACCATATCAAGTATGACAAGTGATTCCCTTTTAAGATCATTTATGGTCCTGAGATGCAACATTTCTGATAGTCTTTTAAACATTATCGGTTCAGCATCCTTTTCTCTTTGTGCCATGGATAAATCAATTGCCAGCTGTAAATCTCGCGAGTCCTTTTCTGATATCGCTCTTTTGAAGTAAGCATGCACAAGTTCTATCTGAAAACAAGGCATGTGAAACATAAACCATTAATAAAAGGCAAAAAGATGATTTTGTATAACTCACTGCTACTTAAATCTGAAAATGAAAGAAGTAAACATAGAGGTAATAAATTAGAGGTACTTGTTCTCGAATTTTCTCTGATATGTCAAGCTTATCTATATATTAATATAGTAAAACGGAATAGTGAAGGAGGGAGTGGGCGGGAAAAATTGTAGCAAAAAAATGGAATAGGGGAGTAAGTGGGGGGAGGGGGCCGGGAGTGGCAGAATAAATATCATATGTGTTGTGTTTAATGCACTTCTTATCGTGAGCTGGCAAATGAATAATATCGATTGTGCTGATGCACTTCTCAAAAAAGAGAAGTATTAATGGTTGTGCAAATACATCTTTCGAGATCTATTTAAATTACTTAATAACTAAGCTGTCAAAACTTATGGCTTTTTAAATTCCGATGGCCCTGCCCATTTTGCAATGGTCAAGGATTTTTGGCGTTAAAGATCATCCCAACCAGCTGCTGCCCTTCTTACTAAAGCTACTACAAATCCCTATAATTCATATAGTCTTTTGATCATCTCATATTCATAGGCATGTAGTTGGACTGTGATTCTGTGAACATGCCTAACCGCATAGTAGGATAGGATACGGAGTACTTTTTTGCATGTCGCTCAAGAGATTGACCATTATGTTTTTTGTATGTTATGAATGTAAATGTTCTTAAAGGACATACCTACCATAAGATAGAAGTGGTCAAAAATGATGAGGTATGTTAAACTATTTGTATATATAATGTCTATATATAGTTCAATTTATTATATATTATACACAATTAGACTTGACACAACCACACAACAACACTTTCAAATACTCCGTAGTTCTAAAATTATCAAAGTTAAATAGGATGAAGTCATTAGCATGCATTACGTTGATCAAATTATTATGAAGTTTTTTATCAACGATCATGATGAGCCAGTCATCATCATCAATTCATCATTCAACTTTATCATATTGAGTTGAAGTTGTTATTTACTATCGTACTAAGGAGTAGGGGTGGATCCGGTTCGGGACCCGGTCCGGCACAATTTGAGACTAGATTGGGTCTGTTTTTCGTGTCCTGGTTCAAGACCGAGGACCCAATCGGGTAACTGGCAGGCCTGGCCCGAGTTTGAACTATCGGGACCGGACCGGGTTGTTCCTGACCCAGCTTGACCAATTTTTCTTTTGGCGTAAATGTAAAATTAAATATAAGTGGATCACGCCGGGCCCTTGACTAGACTCGGTCTTCCCCTAGCACTGATGGGTCCGGGACCGGAACCGGGTCGACTTCACCTCTACTATTGAGTATAGTGTTCATGCTAAAAATAATAGTATGTTTGTGTCTTTAATTTACTCGAAGTTATTCAATTATAGTACTCCGTATGTGTATATTTTTTTAATCGTTTTTAATCGTTTTTATGTACTTTCTCTTTTCTCATAGTGTCTGTTTTATTAAATACCAACATTCTTGACCTGAATGACTTTTGAACCTGTGACCTCCGCCTTGGGAGTGTCACAGTGATGCCATCGAACCACAAGGTGTTTGTCTTTTTTTATGATTGGAGCATCATGTAATTCAAAAAAAGGAGTGAAGTTTTTTCTAAAATAGTTTTAATAAAAAATATATGGACAAAAAGTGTGATTATAAGTTAATATGAGTAACTTTTATAGTCACTACGATGTAACATTTTAATATAATTAGTTACTAAAGTTATTAGGGTCACTTTTTGTCTACTACTTTTGTTTTGGTTATATATTTGGAATCATTTCTAATTATAATTTTTAAGTTATAATCAATTTGCCAATGGTTTAAACAATTTATTTTAAAATCTGAATAATGGAAAATGGAAATATAGTTATACCATTGAATGAATTTCGAATATACTTATAATTAATAAAATAGTTACTGCAAAGTGTTTATATTGTTATTTTAATATCACATGAAAAATCTCGAACCACTTTTTGTTAGCAAAAGGAGATAACTTTATGTCTTTATGTGCGTGCATCTTCATTATTATTGAATCTAAATCCCTTTAGTAATAAACGACGTTTTTAGTTCTCTTTCGAACATATGTACCTTTCAATTTCTCATTGTTTTTATATTATGATGATTTTATATTATGATGATATTGAATGTTGATTTCTGAAAAATAAACCAGCATAGATATAATGACAAGAAAACTTCACAAGAGTAAGAAAAAAAATTGGCCGATCTCGACTACTGCTATTTGGAATTAATTAATTACAAAAAGTTAAATGAAATTTAAAAAAAAATCGAAATAAACACGGATATACAGAATCCAATTTTACATGTAAAAGAAATTAGAATTATAAGAGGAAGAACATGTATACGGAATTACTCTACTTGAAAATATTTGCCTAATAATGATGGTTTGTTCTTGCGGAAATCACTACAAGAATTTAAGGATTTTAGTGACGGAAAGTTTGTCAATGAATCTGTCACTAACATAGATAATGACGCCTATTACTGACGAAACTTTTGTCATTGAAATCGTGCTGCTAAATACTTCAGTGGCGAACTTTCATTTCTGTCACAAATTGAAGACGGGAGTTAGTGACTATACATTCCGCCACTATTATTAGTGACAAATAATTCGCCACTATATGCTGCTACTAAAATAGTTATATTTAAAAACAAAATAACAAATACAGAGTAGTTTGCTCCTTTTTAATATTTTTATGCCATTAAATTTTTTAAAAGTTAATATGTCAATTCAATTATATAACAACATAATGTACACAAGGCATTATAACTAAAACATTAATAATTAAACAAAGATATATAGGTAGGCAAAAACTTGATACATGCTCCATTAAAGTCATACTTGAATGAATGAGGTAACAAATACCAGTGAATACTTAAAAGTCATTGTACCATAAGTACAAGCCTTACTACAATCCAAAAATACACCCAAAATACTTGCATATCTATTGGAAAATAACTACTGCTGAATGTTTTGGGAGTCTTGAGATGATGATGAATTAGTGAACTCAAAAAAACTTGGTACTTCCATTCCAAGTGACTTCAAAAATGGAAGCCATGTTTCCTCAAAAGATTTTGGTTGTGAGCAAGGATCTTCATGTAGCAAACTTTCATCCACAAGTGGCATTACTGGTGGACATTCCTCTCCTTGTGAAGATAACCATTTCCGCATATGTTCATCCCAAAACACACAAAATTCAAGTGCACGTTGTGAAGATAAAGAAGTCTTTCGGTGAGTTGATTGGAGTTGATGAAGGAATTCTTCTGCATACTTTCCTAGTCCAAATATTTTTTTGTTCTTGCCTCCAGCAATTTCCAAATATTTGGAATGCAAATCAGGAAATGCAGCTTTGGATGCATTATTGGAGCCTCCAATTTCAGCTTCAGATTGTTGAGTTTGCTTTACGTGTTCTTTAAATGCAGCAGATAACTTCTCAATGGCCTCCTGTATTCATACAACATACTTTAATAGCAAACAAAGTCTTATAGCATTAATAGTAATACAGTTTGATTCATACTAAAACTGTTTGAAGCAATATATAATACTACGTATAATATAAGACTTAATAGTAAAACAGTCCACTTAATGGTCGTATCTTCTTGAAAACAGAAAAAAATTCTCCCAAACACAAAGAATAAGGACTGCAGCTTATGGAATATCACATTTGAGAATTCAGAATAACGTCTGACTTGATGAACAGAAAAAGTCATTCACAGAAGATATAAACAACATTAAGTACCCCAAACTTAATTAACTACAGTCTTGATAACTAAAGGGTGTAATTCATTCCAGACTTAAAAGTATTTTTATTTTAAGCATTTGTTTCAAAGTAGCTTGAAATCTTTATATAATTCTGTAGCAGAATTCCTTTAATAAGGTCCATTACTTTTTCACAAAAATGACAGAATATAGAAGGGCTTTCACACTTCATTATGACGAATGACAGAATGAACCACTGCGTGTGTAAAGTTAAAAAAGTTACTGAAATTCTAATAAAAGTAAAAAAGATGGAATCATTCTACTAAAACTGCAAAGCGGGAATCTGTGAGCCAGGGTACAACATTACATTTGATCCCTAAGGAAGGTAAAACCTAGAATAGAGAAGCAATACACACCATAACTTCTGAATGTGACGTATGATCAATCAGCTCTCCATTCTTTCTCTGTTTCGGATGGTATGTCTCACAAATTTTGAGGGGATTAATTTCTTCCCCCGAAATCCTCTCCTACAAAAAAATATAATGAAACTGTGAACTAGTGGAGAACTACATTACAAAAATACATTATAAAGTTTTAGAATTCAACCTCCTGCGCAGCCAAATCAATTGCGGACCTTGATCCTCCATATTGTTTACATTTATCCCCACCGGCAATCCGATTTTTTTTACCGGACTCAGACGACCTTTGAAATGTCTTAGACTTATTATACTCTTGCACAACGGCCCAAGTGAAGTTATTCACAGTCAAAGGCCGCTTTTTCCTTGAATATTTAAAAATGATGTACCATTAAAAAAAATACATTTTGAAAGAAACTCAAATATTAAACGAAATAATACTTAACGTACTCACCTGATTTGAGAAATGATATTCGAATAAGCACGTTTCTTTAAATATCTTTCATAACCATTCCTGATGTTTTCACAATTGAACTTGGATATGTCCCAACTTACCAAGTCCTATAAGCCAAAGATAGTTACGTATAATTCATGAAAATTATAGGCAGCTTACAATATAAGAGAAAAAAATCAGGTTTTAGCTTTAAACTGAAATGAATAAACCTGGAATTGATCCCAATATAAATCCTTTGTCTTCTGGGGTACCCACTTCCACAATTGGCCAGCTGGGTGCAGGTTGTATTTTATCTGTCTTGAGACAACAGTTTGAAATCTCAAACTTGTTTTGTTGGCAAACAGATTTATAAGTCTGCAATGAAAATACAATTTTGCTTAATTGTAATAATTAATGTTTGAATAACATTATAGAAGATCGAATTTATAATTCAGATTAATTTAATAGTTAACTCACTGTCCAGACACATTTAACCCAACATTGGGTCTTTCAAATTTTGACACCACTAAAGATCTGAAATGGTCCAAAGGTTCTTCACCCCACTGGAGATCTTTGTATGCATCCGGAGTCCATTCAGCTAGCTCGTCCTCTCCATCTGGGTCATTATCTGGATCATTATCTTCTACCTCATCACTGCTTGTTGTTGTTGATGGACTATGTTGATTGAAGAGCAATGGATTGTCTTGATTGAGATCTTGAACTGTAGAAACATTGGGTTGCTGGTTAGTGACAGGTGTGAAGTTTAGGCTATGACCACGAGGCAGATGATATTGTGACGGAGGTGGATGGGGAGGCTGCCGTGTCTGCACTAAATACAGTATATAGGAAATAAGAACACCCTCTTATATAGAAAATAAGAGCACCCTCTGTTCTCGTTGATTTTTTTTTGTTGAAATTTTTTTGCATGTTTCTCATAAATTCCAGTTTATCCTTAAAAAGTTGCTAAAATTTCGATCGGGAAGACGGTCAAATATTTTTTTGAAAATAGCTGCACCAAATTATACATATAAAACACAATTACTTTGGTTGCATAGAAAATAATTATCTATTATGTGTAATAGATATCCATATAGAACAATTTAGAGATGGCAATTTCGGCCGACCCGTTGGATACCCGCACCGAACCGATTTGGTCAAACTGGGGAAAACCGGTTTGACTGGGCAATGGGTACGGGGCGGGGAATACCCGAATTTTTTAAATGGTTAATGGTGCGGTTATGGTTCTATACTAATCCATCCAGTTATCCGCCCCGAAACCGCCCCGTTCACTAATGGTGCGGGTACCCGATCCGTAACATTATTAATGAATTATAACTTTTTATATATAAGAATAATAAGTATATATGCTAAATTGTGTATACTAAATAGGAGGAATGCTCCTGTCCAGACGTCCGGACAGGAGCCGCCGTCCGGCCGGCGGCGTTTGGCCGCCTTCCCGGTGGAATTTTTTGATGAAATTTTTATGGCATGTTCTCCATCAAGTCTAGTTTATCCAAAAAACAATTCAGCCAAAAACTCAATCGGGAAGGTCGTCAAATGATTTTTGCAAGTTAACTGGTCCGGAAAATACATATTCCGGACCAGTTAACTTGCAAAAATCATTTGACGACCTTCCCGATTGAGTTGTTGGCTGATTTTTTTTGTGGATAAACTAGACTTGATGGAGAACATGCCATAAAAATTTCATCAAAAAATTCCACCGGGAAGGCGGCCAAACGCCGCCGGCCGGACGGCGGCTCCTGTCCGGACGTCTGGACAGGATCTTTTCTATACTAAATAGTATATATCATATAAATAATGCTAAAAAGTATACTACTTTTTTAGGCCTAAAACTAAATATAGGCCTAAACCTGTTTTTGGAATTTGGATTCTGGGACGATTACTACTTTTTATTATGTGTACCCGTCCCCGATCTGCCCCGTTGCCATCACTAGAACAATTCACATACGATCTTCAAAGAAAAAAGATTCACATAAAAAATGCACAACAAAAATAAAATTGGTAACAAGAGACGGTGGGGGTAGTGAACCTCAATCACAATTAATATTTTCTTCGTGATCACTATCATTTTCGTCATCATCACGCTCCATGTCATATGCTCCATCTAATGTATCATCCATATTCTCTGGAGCATTAAACGCAACTGAATGATCATCACAGTCATCGATGTGTAATTGACCATAATTTGGAAATGGTTGTTCATCTAACTCTATTTGGAATGAATTCCTAGGCTCGTCTTCTTGAAACGCTGAGGGGTGTTCATCTTCATGTGTCAAATTTTCTCCCAAATCTCCCTCGACAAAAGCCCGTGGCATGCACTGAACAACAGAAAGCCATCTATTGGCTCGTTTATTTGTACTAGGATATGGCACATACACAACTTGATCTGCCTGTGATGCTAAAATATAGCAGTCTGAAATACGAAGTCGGTGTTGTGTGTTCACATCCACTATGTTGTATAATGGATGGCGTCGTGTGCCTCTACTTGAAGGTTCAAACCATTCACACCTGAAGACGATTATCTTATAATCTTGATATTCTAGCTGAATTATTTCATGTATTAAACCATAATAGTCAAGCTCTGAACCATCATAACTTGTGCACTTGACCATAACCCCACAATTACAGGTCACCCTCCCTTCAGATCGTGCAGTAGTGTTGAACTTATAACCATTTATATGAAGTGTTTGGTATGTCGTCACGTATGGAGCAGGAAATCCAGCTAAAGCCCGAATCCATCGTGGGTGATCTATAATGTCATTTCGCACCTAAAGTAAATACATATGTTTAATATATGTTAGCCAGAACTATATATCCAAAACAAAATATAGTATATTAACTAAATACAATAAATTCTAAACTTTGAACTCTCACATAGTGATAAAACCAGAGCGGAAATTGTGCTTGAAATTGAAGTTCATCGGAGGTTGTCAATCCGGTTGCATTCGTGAACAATCTGCAACAAAATGGCTATAATATTAGACTAGAACTGTTATAATTTGAGTTAAAGAAATCAATAGTTAGTTAAATATGGCTTACTCTCTAAATGAGTCGATCTCTAGGCAATTTTGTAGTACATAGGAATGCACTGCATTGGTTTCGTTTTGGTCCATGTATCGACGTGTGCTTGCACCAATTGCTTTTGCCTTTTGTGCAAAAATGGAAGCAGGGACATCATCATTAATCATAAAACCGTCATCAAATCTCGGGACACCACGTGCTTTTGTGGTGACTTCCTCTGGGAAGTAGTAACTCGCAAATGTACCCATTTCACTTAGCAAATAACCCTCTCTAATTGAGGCTTCAACTCTAGCCTTGTTGCCGATCTTTTTCTTTAACACTGACCCTAAAAAACTGGTTAAATATGATCAATTAAGATTAAGAGTATCAATAACACAATACTATATTATTATGAAAAAAAAGAATATGAACACTAACTTTTCGAAGCGATACATCCATCGATATTGCGGTGGTCCGCCTAGCAAAACTTCATCCGGCAAATGTATGGGAAGATGCTCCGTCGGGTCAAAAAATGAGGGAGGGAAAATCTTCTCCAATTTACATAAAATGATAGGAATATCATCCTTTAGCTTTTCAATGACAGAAACTCGTGCAGTCTTTCTTGTTAACTCACGAAAGAATAAACTAATCTCAGTAATTGCCTCCCAAATACAAGCAGGTAGCATTTCTCTCAATGCAATTGGAAGTAGACGTTGCATAAAAATGTGACAATCATGACTCTTCATACCGAATACCTTAAGGTTCTCCATTTCTACACAACGTCCTAATCGAGATGCAAATCCATCGGGGAACTTAAGTGAATCAACCCAACTGCACAAAACTTCTCTTTGCTTGTTTGAAAGCACGAAAGGAGCCTTGGGATATTTTCCATCACGGTCCATCTCCATACTTGGTCTATGACAAATTTGTTCCATGTCCATTCTCCCTCGTGTATGGTCCTTTGACTTCCCTGGCACACCCAGAATTGTGTAGAATATGTTCTCAAAGAAATTTTTCTCTATGTGCATTACATCAAGATTGTGGCGCAGAAGCAAATCCTTCCAATACGGAAGATCCCAAAAGATACTACGTTTCTTCCACCCAATATTCTTCCCAACCACTTTGTTGTGTTCCAAACTGCCTAATTCGGTCACAGACATTAGGGCATCCATCTCACCATAACAATATAAACCATCTCTATATAATGGAGGGCCATACATGACTGTTTTACCCTTAGTGAAGTTCTCGATGTCCCATCGAAATGGATGATCTTCTGCTAGGAACTTTCGGTGGTTATCAAACCAACTATGTTTCTTGCTGCGGGGTAACCAGAATGCTTCTGTAAATTCAGTACAACACGGACATGCAAATTTCCCTTTTGTACTCCATCCAGAGAGCATGGCATATGCTGGAAAATCACTAATTGTCCAAAGCAAAGAAGCTCGCATATTAAAGTGCTCCTTTGAAAGTGCATCATACGTTACAGTCCCAACCTCCCATAATTGCTTCAACTCTTCTATCAAAGGTTGCAAATAAACATCTATCCTATTTGTGGGATTCTTTGGCCCTGGAATCAATATGGATAAGAACAGAAATTGTTCTTTCATACATATACCTGGAGGAAGGTTGTATGGTGTCAAGATAATAGGCCAACACGAATACTTCTGTCCAAATTGTCCGAATGGTTGAAACCCATCTGAGCATAGACCGAGTCTAACATTTCTAGGGTCCTCGGCAAAAGATGGATAAACATTGTCAAAATGAATCCATGCCTTCCCATCTGATGGATGTCGCATCACTCCTTCTTCTCTGTGGTGACTTTTATGCCATCTCATATCCCCAGCAGTTGTATTTGAGGCATAAAGCCTCTGTAGTCTTGGAGTAATCGGAAAATACTCCATCCTAGAAAGCGGGATTGGTTTACTTGACTGATTATTGACCTCATACCTTGCACTAGAGCAAAATCTGCACTCGATTAGTTCACTGTCTGCTTTCCAATAGATCATGCACCCTTTTGGACAACAATCAATAGATTGATGAGTCATTCCTAATAGTGAGAGTTTCCTTTTTATTTTCTTGAAATTCTGGATGGGCCGATTGGAGATATGTGTTGGGAAAAACCTATTCACAAGTTGAACAATTCTGTCAGTGGCAGCCTCTGATAAATTCATCTCAGTCTTTAAGTTCAACAATTCAGTCATGGCACTCAACTCCGTCATGGGACAACCATCAAAACATGGTTGACTTGTCGCAGCAAGCATTTCATACATGCTCTTTGTCATTGGATTAGGCTCCTCATCGTCAACATGCATATCATCAGGCGTACCTATAGGAAACTCATTCCTAACAGCGTCTTCAAACATTGATTTATATGGGTCATATGGAACTTCAGATGTATTATGACGGGAAGAGCTACCTTCATCCAAATAAACCAGCCCATTTGAATTATATGTCTCTCCGTGCGCTCCCCATACATAATAGTCTTCAACAAATCCTTTTTCAAAAAGATGTTGTTTAACAATATCCCAAGTCAACAATTTTCTGTTCTTGCACTTTCTACACGGACATGCAATCACCCCACTTGGATATAAGTTTACCGCCTTCTGAATAAACTCATTAACTCCTTTTTTGAAGTCTTCATTTAGAAACCCTCGATTTCCGAGTCTTTCATACATCCAAGACCTATTATTGCTCATTTTGAAATCTAAACATATAAAATGATACGGATTATTAAATATTATTTCTTCACTTCACATAGTAAACGAAATTAATTTAAGGAATTTTCAGTAGCTCGTGACTAAATTTATTAATAATAGATCAACAACTTCAATTATTTCTTTCAATTAATATAAAAATAAACAATAACCAACAATGTTTAAATTTATTATTGTTCTTAAATTTCTTTGAAATTTTCCAACATATTTAAAAAGCTAGCAACAAAAACACGTACAAGTATTATAATATTTGTTAAAAATGGTGTCATTGCATTTTAGCATCTACAAGGACCAAGCACATAGTACATATGTCATTTGTCTTCATAAATTAATCATAAAATAAATAGATCGCAAGAGGCTAACAAATAATGTAATAATAAGTTTACTTAAATAGTAATTAATTAAGAATCAGCTCAAAAAAAGACATAAGATTAAATTTTAATTAAGCCAAAAAAAACTTACCTCTCTCGTATGGACATGGCAGATCGAAGAGAGCTTGTAGACAAAGAAAATGGTAGATGAGATATTTGTGCAAAATGAATTTGGTTGGTGGGTGCAATTTAATATTTGTAATTCAATGACAGAGTTTAGAGACGGATTAATTCCGCCATTGTTTTGTGACGAAATTTCAGCCACAAAAATCAGCTAGCAATTATTGTCTAAGATGGATTCGCCACTAAAATCTGTCGCTGAACAGCGACACAGTACATCTGTCACGCATTTGTGGGGCATAGTTATTTGTCTTTAATTTCCGTCATAAAATCGTGTCAGATGTTATTTCGTCACTAAATTCCGCCACAATTTTCCGGAATTCTTGTAGTGAATATGTGATAAAGATGGTAAGGATATTAATATAATAATAAGAGGCCGTTTGGAACCTCTCTTTTTCAGCTTATCGGGCTTGTCACCCAACTTTTTCACCAAATACGTAATAAGATTGGAGTTACTTTTATGGCTGTTTGGGCTAAAGTTACTCTAGATGATCATTTTAGCTATTTTACATATAATTATTTCTTTATTTTATTAATAAAATATATTTTAAAAATAAATTTTTATTATATGACCAGAATCAGCCAATGCAGCTACTTCAGCCAGAATTTCATAAATTTCAGCAGAATCAGCCAAATCAGCCGATTTTCATGCTAGCAAACAGGCTCTTGTTAAAATTGGAATAAAGAGAATAATAATAAAAGCAAATTGGAAGAGAAGGGAATTCGTAAAAGGATAAAATTCTTCCTTATGTTATATGAACTTACGAGTACTGAGTGCATGTATATATATGCATATTACAAGGGAAATAGATGAGCAATTATTGAGTAGGAGACTGCTACACATGCATGTGCCATGCATCTTCCTAAAATAATAGAGGCGTACAACATATAATATATATATATATATATATATATATATAATTTATAATTCTCAATACTCCCCCTCAAGGTGGCGTATGAAGGTTACGAATACCCAACTTGCTTCGTAGAAATTGAAAACGATCAGTACCAAGTGCCTTGGTAAAAATGTCTGCAATCTGATTGGTGGTTGAGATGGGAAACGGTTGAAGTTCCTTACTAGCCACCCTCTCTCGCACAAAATAACAGTCAATTTCCACGTGTTTGGTGCGTTCATGGAAGACTGGATTAAGTGCGATGTGTCGTGCTGCTTGGTTATCGCAAAAGAGGGACGTGGGACGCATTTGTGGAATTGTAAGATCGCGAAGTAACCAACGTAGCCATAAGATTTCACTAACTGTGACAGCCATAGCTCGATATTCTGCTTCTGCGGAAGAACGAGAAACGACAGACTGTTTCTTAGTTCGCCATGATATTGGTGAATTCCCAAGAGTAATGAAGTAACCAGTGCTAGAGCGACGGGTGAAGGAGCAACCTGCCCAGTCTGCATCACAATAACCCTGTAAGATAAAGTCCTTTTCGGATGATAAAAAATGCCTTGTCCGGGCGTTTGTTTAAGGTAGCGAAGTATCCGTAAGGCTGCATCAAGATGAGTTTGTCGTGGGCTATTGAGGAATTGGCTAAGCTGACTGACCGAATAAACAATGTCCGGTCGAGTAACAGTTAGATATAACAGTCTGCCAATGAGACGACGGTAGGAAGAAGCATCTACTAGTGGGCTATTATCGTCCGGGCGAAGTTTCAAATTTTGCTCCATGGGGAATGAACTGGGGCGCCCTCCTAGAAGACCACTTTCTTCTAGAATGTGTAGAGTGTACTTTCGCTGGCTTAAAACAAAACCCTCAGAAGAACGAGCAACTTCAATACCGAGAAAATACTTCAATTTACCCAAGTCTTTAATGCTAAATTTAGCATCCAAGTAACCTTTCACAGTGTCAATGTGGGTGATTTTATTCCCGGCTAGCAAAACATCATCAACATAGATAAGGGCAAACGTGTTGATGGGACCTTCCTTGAAAATGAAAAGAGAGTGATCTGCCTGGGATTGACGAAAGCCAATTGCAGTGAGGGCTTGAGTAAATTTGTGATACCAATTGCGGGATGCCTGTTTTAATCCATAGAGTGATTTTTGTAATTTACAAACGCGATTGTCACCATTTTTTGTAAATCCCTGTGGAACCCGCATGTAGACATCTTCAGAGAGATCTCCATGGAGAAAAGCATTGTTAACATCGAGCTGATGCACTGTCCAATTGCATTTAGCTGCAACTGCCAGCAAGCACCGTACAGTGACCAGTTTGGCAACCGGTGCAAATGTCTCATGGAAATCGATCCCTTCTACTTGTGTGAAACCTTTAGCCACCAGTCTAGCTTTGTAACGTTCCACATCTCCATTGGGTTTGTATTTGATTTTGTACACCCATTTAGAATCAATGACCCTTTTTCCCGGTGGTAATTGGACTAGAGTCCATGTACCGTTTTTCTCCAGAGCATCAACTTCCTGTTGCATGGCCTTCCGCCATGAAGGATCCTGTATAGCTTGTGAAAAATTTTTAGGCTCATCACGTGAAGTGATGGCCGCCAAAAATGCTCTATGTGAAGGAGAAAATTTTTCATAACTAATAAATTTGGAAATGGGATATACCGTCGAGCTAACCGTATGGGCAGTGGGATGTGAATGATCAATTGACGGTGGCAATTCCGTCTCATAATCAATTAAATGCCTTGGAAATCTGCGTATCCTCACACCCCTTTTTGGTTCAACATAAGAAGTCAAAGTAGGTTGACTGTGTGGTCCCTCTGTGGTAGACTGTGGCTGAGAAGCATCAACTTGAATTATTTGAGGAGGTTGACCATGTAATTCAGAAGGTGACAAAATGCTTGATTGAGTGTTCGTGATTCCTCCAGGTGGGATGTTGATTAAATTTTCTCCCATCATCATTGTAGGGAGTCTGTTGGCATTTTGTGCTAAAGAGGGGCCATCATCTGGACAAAATCTCGGCCACCCATGTGACGCAGCTGGATGAGGATCTGGAGATGCCAAGCTCAAATCAGTGTTGTCTTTTTCTGGTGAGGTAGGGCTGCCGTGAGCTGGGATCCGCCCAATCAAAGAAGGTGGATGGGAAACTTCTACACGAGAGGTGCTCTCCTTTTCTGGTGGAGACCGTGAAGTATGGCTGCTCCTTCTCTCAGCTAAAAAAGGCTGCTCACAGTCATCAGTTGAACAGTCCGCAGGTCTGGTAACTTGAGTGGGACGCTGTATGTCAAGAGTTTCATAGCCCAAAATATTTTTGTAAACTTTGTTTACAAGGGCCGTAAAATCAAGTTCCTCATCTGACGTTATTTTAAAAGGGAATTTGTTTTTCATAAAACGTTACATCTCGGGAGCTGTAAGCACTTTGTTTTTCTAAATTGAAAACCCGGTGTGCCTTTTGACCATTTGGATATCCAATAAATATGCAAGGACTCCCCCTTTCTCCGAATTTATCTTTTCGCTTGTTGTCATGTGCATACGCCAAACAACCAAATACCCTCAAATGATCATAACTAGGTTGTTTTTTAAACAACATCTCATAGGGACTTTTATTAAAAATAATAGGCGAGGGAAGCCTATTAATGATGTACACCGCAGTCAAAATGCATTCACCCCAAAAATCAATGGGTAACCCAGACTGAAAACGTAGTGCTCTAGCAACTTCCAAAATATGTCTATGTTTGCGTTCAACAACTCCATTTTGTTGTGGTGTGTCTGTGCATGAAGTTTCTAATAATATCCCAGTGCGTGAATAATAGTCATATAAACTATTGGTTTGAAACTCTACACCATTATCAGCCCGTATTCGCTTGACTTTTTGCCCAAATTGGTTATCAACCATGTTGCAAAATTGAATTAAAAACTGAGAAACTTCAGATTTATTTTTCAATAAATAAACCCACACACTTCTAGTGAAATCGTCGACAATAGATAGAAAGTACCGTGCGCCTGAGATTGAATCACGTCTGTAGCCTCCCCAAATGTCACAATGTATCAACTCAAAACAACAAGTTGTTTTAATTGTACTTGTAGGAAATGGTAGTCTAGTCTGCTTAGCTCGAACGCATGAATCACAGAAATTGTTACTTCTTTGAAAACCTTTGAGGAAACTAATGTGATGTAACTTTCCATCAGATGCATGTCCCAAACGTTGATGCCATAAATCTGATGAGATGGAGGCTGACATTGCCACCCCTTCACTTTTTGGATACTCCAAATAATAGAGACCATCACGAAATTTACCCACGCCAATCAGTTTTCTCGAGGGCACATTTTGCAAAACACAGAAGTCTGAAAAAAATATCATTGTACAGTTTAGATCGCTTGTTAAGCGACTAACTGAAAGTAGGTTACACTGGAATTTCGGAATATATAGAACACGTTTAAGAAGAAGTCCATTGGGTAGATATAAACTTCCAACAGCATGAACCGGAATCGATTCGCCGTTTGGAATTTTGACTGATGATTCTGACGTTTGAGAGACAATATCAAAGAGATTAATATCACTACAAGTGATATGTTCAGTAGCTCCGGAATCAATTATCCAGG